GGGTATGGAAGGGGACTCTGCCCACTTACTCTTGGAGACATTGTTGAAAGAGAAGTGTTGCCTGAGTAAGGAGCTGTAGGGGGGATCACGAATAATCGGTCCCATTTAGCTGGGCTAAATAGAGTAGTTAAGATATTTGTAGGGTTGGTGATGGTAGAAGGACAGGGGCATGTGGAAGTGGGAGTGTTGTTGAGGGGGGTAGTATTACAGAGAGATGGAGAATAAGGCTGTAAGGTAGTATAAGGGAGGTTGAGGTGTTTGATGAAAAAGTTTGTAGGGGTAGAGATGATGAATTTGAGGAAGTTGGGAGGGTAGGGATGTCTTCTGGAGATTGAGTCTCTGCCTGGATGGGTAATGCATTTGTAGACATTGAGGAGTGGGTAGTAGTTTCATGTTCGGAGTCGTGGTCAAAGGAGAGCCTGGGGTCGGGGAGCCGGTGGGGCTGTTTGATGATGAGGCAAGCCTCATTGCCCCAATAAGGGTATTACATCTTCATTACTGGCCATGGGAAGCCTTGATTATGCAAAGGGGAATAAACAGTCCACCCTCCAGTGCCCTGTACAGGGGTAAGGGCAAGACAACTAAATCAGGGGAATACCGTGCCCATGGTTCCCGCAGGCCGTTCAGGACTGGCACAAGGTCAGCCTTTCATCCTTTCAGCATGGCTCTTACACCTTAGGAAGTAGATAATAGAAGGGGTTGGAGAAGGGACAGAAACAAAAAGCTGGAGGGGGATAATGGTTAATGGTTAATGGTTAATGGTTAAGATAAATGTGCTAGACATCTAAGGTCATATAGCACTATAGGAAAGTATAGTAAAGAGGGATGTCAGGTGACAGTTGTAATGTGTCAACTATCTAGAATATTGTTGAGAGGTTGAGGATGAGGGAAAAGATTATGGTGGTTTAGGTAAGGGAGTTAGATCAAGTGAAGGATATTTATGTGTCTGAGGAAGGAGAACAGGTTGTCGAGGCAGAAACTGTGAGATTCTGTAAGGATGTCTGATATGTTGGGAGGTCGGTGAAGGGAGGATAGGTGTGGAAAAGCAGAGGTACGTGCTGTATTAAAACGTGGACAGGACAAGAGAATGTGTGGGACTGAAATAGGGATGTTACACAGAGGAATAGCTGTGCACGGGACCGAAGTTTGTATGGGAGGTATGACATAAGGTGTTTTATGATGGATAAGTATAGACGAGACATAAAGGGAGTGTGGGGAAGAGATAAAATGGTAATTAGGAATTGGAATAGGAGGGTGTGTGAGGAAAGTCTCTTGGAGGCAGATAATAGATGGATTATAAGAAGCAAGGATATGACGTAGGTCTGATCTATGAGAGCGGAAACCGCGAATATTCCAATGTAGGAGAGCTATATCCTAGTTGATTTATGAATGATAACACATTTACGTGTTGGGGAATTTGAAGGGGAAGGAGCTAGGGGGTGTAAAGGAGGGATATTAGGAGGTAGGGAGTCTGGAGAAGGGCATTGTTGTGCCATGAGTGATTCTCGTGTGTATCCTGGAGGGAGTGCAAAGGATAGAGGGGATGGAGGGAGGGAGAATGTGCCTATAGTTGGGGTTGAAGGGGGTGGGTTGTGTTGGGAGGGAGTAGATGTGTGGGGAGTATAGTGTTAGGAGGATGAATATCAGAAGGATGGATAGTTGGAGTTGAAGGGGATGTGTTGTCTTGGGAGGGATTAGGAGGAAGGGTGTAGGGGTGTTGAGTAAGAGGGGGATGCATATCAGGAGGATGGGTATTGGGAGGATGGATATCAGTGGTGGTTGGGATTGAGGGGGTTAGGTTGTGTTGGGAGGGAGTAGGAGGAAGGGGTGTAGGGGGAATATTAGTAGGAGGGTATGAATATCGGCAACCACTTCAAGTGTGGAAGGAGCATGAGTTATGGGATTTTGTGTCTCAAGCATATAGCTTTGAATGTCATCCATTGTTTCTGCAGTGGAGTTTGTTGGAGAGTTTTGTGAGAAGGTAATTGTTTCTGCAATGGAATTGGTTGGAGAGTTTTGTGGAATAAAGGTTTTCTTATGAGGGGGGGAAGAGGAGACTGGTGTCTCAGGAACAAAGGTATAGGTAGGTGGAGGTGATTGTGCTGTAGGGGAAGAAGGGTTAGAACGTTTAGTCTGTCTACTGCGGGTAGTGCGGGGAGGGAGAGGGTTGGTGTTGGGGCTGTAGTTGAGATAGGAGCTGTGGTTGAGATTGGGGTGTCTGGGTTTAGAGTGGCAAAGGAATTGGTCTGAGGGATGTAGAATGTAGAAGTGGAAATGGGGACATTTTGGGTGGAGGGGGAAGGGCTGAGCGAACGATGTTGCTAGAATATGGAGTATGAGAGAAACCTTGTCGACGTGCTTCCTGTCTGGCTTCACGTAAAGTGAGACCATTTTTGTATCTGAGAGTTGCTACCTCAGATTCAAATTTGTAAGTGGGACAGCCTCTATAAAATACATTATGGGGGCCGCCGCAGTTAGCACATGTTCGTGTTTGTGCTGAGCAGTTTGATCGATTATGACCAGGTTGGGCACATATGGGGCATCGGTCTGTGGAACGGCAATGTTTGGCAGGATGTCCAAAGCGCCAACAGTTTTGACATTGACGTGGAGGGGGTTGGTATGGTCGAACAGGGAGGGATTGTCCACCAATGTAGATACGTAAGGGAAGGTCATGTGTACAGAAGGTAATTTTGGCAATATTGGTTGGATTCTTTCGTTGACCTTTAGGAGGAATGGTGTAGCAATGTACTGATTTCACATCTTGGTCTTTGAGGCATCCTAATAAGTCTTCTCCACAGTCTGACCAATCTTTGGTATCGACTGGGCAGTTTGCTGGGGAGAGAGAGACAGTTCCGGTACAGGTATTAAGGGTTGGATGAGGTTCTGCAGGAATGGGGTTGCCAGAATGATCAGTTAAATTTGACAGTGCTATAGATTCAGTTTCTGATCTGACTGTTACCAGACGGGAGCGATCGCGTCTGGTATAGAAAGGGACTCTACCTACTTGTTTTTGGAGGCATTGTTGAAAGAGAAGAGTGTTGCCTGAGTAAGGAGCTGTAGCAGGGATCACGAAAAATCGGTCCCATTTAGCTGGGCTAAACAGAGTATTTAAGATATCTGTAGGGTTGGTGGTGGTGGATAGTCGGGGACGTGTGGAAGAGGGAGTATTACGGAATGATGGAGAATAAGGTTGCAAGGTAGTAATAAGGGAGGATTGGTTGTTTGATGAAGGTTGCAGGGGTGGAGTTGAATTTGAGGAAGTTGGGTGGGTAGGAATGTCTTCTGGAGATTGATTCTCTGCTTGGGTGGGTAATGCACTAGTAGGCATTGAGGAGTGGGCAGTAGTTTCAGTGTTCGGAGCCGTGGTCAAAGGAGAGCCTGGGTTGGGGCTATTTGATAAAGGGGCTAGCCTCATAGCCTCTAATAAAGGGATTACATTCTCATTACTGGTCATGGGGAACCTGGATTATGTAAATAGGCCTATTCGGTCCACCTCCTTTCGCTACTGAAGGTAAGGGCTAGATTAGTCAGGAGTACCGTGCCCATAGTTCCCGCAGGCCGTTCAGGACTGGCACTAGGTCAGCCTTTCATCCTCTCAGCACGGCTCTCACACCTTAGGAAGTAGATAGCAGAAGGGGATGGAGAAGAGACGGAAACAAAAGCTGGAGAAAAAAAGACCATGCAAAATTAGTTGAGTCGAGGGCTGAGGCCCTAGGCAGGGGAGATCCCTGTATTGGGTCTCAGTCTTCGTCTCCTAAGCCCCCCCACGACAACAACGGGCAAGGGATTGGGGGGGTGGAGGGGGATAAGACCATGCAAAATTAATTGAGTCTAGGGCTGAGGCCCTAGGGAGGGGAGATCCTGGTATTAGGTCTCAGTCTCCGTTTCCTAATCCCCCCCACGACAACAACGGGCAAGGGATTTTGGGGGGAAATCACAATAAAAGCACCTTCCAGAATAATGATTGATACTATTTTTTGAAGGTATTATCTTGACGTTTAATTCACAAGACGTTTGTTTTTTCTTGCTTTAGCATAGACACATTCTAATTCAATTGAATTTTAAAACGGCCATTTTTTTTTTTCTTTTCTTTTCTTTTCTTTCAAGTTTTTTGTTAATTTTGTGAAGTGAGGGTTGGTTCTAACCCACTCATCTGAATTATTGCCAACATCATTGTCAGTGCCTCCAATGATCAATGAGCTTATTTTCTATGATTTCACCCTGATCTACTGAGTATATAGCAAACAAAAAATGTTTAAAAGTCAATACATATTGGGAATGTGAAATGTAATGATCTCAGTCAATCTGACATCTCTCCATTGCAGGGGCCATAGCTGTCCAATTTTCTAATACTTCTGGGAGACCTAAAACAAAATGCATTCTTCCACAATGAAAGATGGGAGACAGTCAAATTGAAATATGTCCACCAACTGCTGACGTCACATTGCACAAGTGTTGAAGCAATAAACCTTATGACAGCATCTCCCACGGCTTTTGCAGCCTTGGTCTTGGTATGGTCTGAAAAATTATGATTTCATTTATATTTTTAAGAAAGAAATTGTATATGAAAGAAAGGGATCAAGATTCCAAATAGAAGAATTCTAAGTAAAAGATAACCATAAAGACCACTGCAGCCTCCATATAAAACATAACCAATTATTTTTTGGGTAGCGGACCCACAGATGGGATCGTTTACAATCGACTCGTTTGGTAGTTTGCAGACAACTTAAGGAACCTAAAACCTTTTTTTTTTAATAATTTTAAAAACTTTTAAAAAGTGAAGGTTTAACTTCACTTAACATGCCAGTGCCATAAAGTTTAACCATACGATTGTTGCTGCTACTAGAGGAGATAAACAATTTTCATCTGATAAGCCGATAGGGCAGGACTGGCGAGCTATGGTGCCAAACATCGTTAGGCCCACAATCTGCCATAGCAAGAATGGATGCCAAACGTGCTAATTTGGTTAATCATGAAAGAGGGGTGAAAGAAACAAGCACTTCTTGGTAAAACATTGTTTCCAGTATAAAAAAGAACTTATTAAAGCCCTATATACACAAGAATTAATTTGATTTATAACCTGAGTGAATGAAAATGTGTCAAGTATACCTGTAATGCCTATAATGTATATAACAAATGCTTAAAAGTGCATACCTGAATTAGAGATGCTAATTCTATTGGATATATCCAGTGCTTGCAGGGCAATTCCAGGTTTCTAAATTCATTTATCACCGGTAAACTCTGATGAAATTTACTACAGAACAAAATACACTCAATAAATAAATCTTCACTAAAAAATTATACATAGAAACACTTTATTTTCTGTTCTGGAATTACAGAAACTAAGACTATGAAGAAATGATGAAGTGCAAGATGTTATTCCAAGAATGTACATTCACATTTACAGATGTACAATCTTGCTATGATAATATATTAAAAGTGACGAAGTTGATTAACAATGGAAAAGAGAATCAAAGGCAGCACAGACATATATACTGGAGAATAATAATAATAATAATAATAGTTGTAATAATAATAAGACAGTTATGCAAATATGACATCAGATGACAATGAATGTGAGTTATAAAATGAATTTTCCTTGTCCAATTCATTACAGTCGCCTACTGACAGGATTTAAGTTACATATTTAACACCATATAGTAAAAGGTTCAATGGGTTCATCACTGAGATCTGGAATATGATTCTGGTATGAACATCTGGAAGTATTAATTTCCAACTTATTTCTCTCTCTATACATACAATTGATAACACTAACAAAACCTAATTTTATGTCTTGAGCTAATCTGATAATTTCTGGCAGACTGGAACACTAGTACATCCTGGTGAATCCTGGTGAGGACAAAGAGCAAATTATCCTGGGCAGTTGTTTTGCTAGTAACTTAATGGTTAACAAATCTTTGGCCCTAGGAATGCTGGAGCTATAGGGTAAAAATATTAAGATGAATAATGAACCACAATAAGGCACTACAAAAGGAACAAAAACAAGAAAAAATGCCACAACAAAAAATTCATCACATATCACAACTTGCAAATGCGTCTATCAATTCCACTTGCCTCTTTCTCAAAAATATTATTGATCCCAATACCCTTCTGTAAGCCTCCTTTTTAATCGAAACTGCTTAAAGGATAATCTGTCACCAAAATTCACATCAGGAAGCATTTGTATTTTTTTCAATCCACCTCTTATTTCATATCTCTAATTCAGTGGGCATATGAAAATAATATCTATAATACATTTTTAAACTCTTGCTTTTAATTTACCCTTCTCAAATCAAATTTCCTCTTTGATCTAATTCCTGTCAAAAATATTGGCATAATTTACAAATCAGAAATTAAATCCACACTCAATGACAAAGTTACTTCAAGAGTTGTACCCAATATTTTCTTACCTCTACACTTAAAAGACTGAAGGCAAAGGAGGCTATTAAACAAGTTTTACCACTTCTGCTTGAAACTGTAAAATTTAAAACACACTATGTACTGGCAAAACTTTGGTTAGGTTTAGATCATCAACATGGGAGAGTATTACAGTGCAGATAAAATTACTTTCCTGTAATTTCACATTTCTCAAATAAAGCCTTAAAATGGAAACCTGCTGAGACTGGCAGTGTGGGTGGCAGTGTGGGTTGATGGGTGATGCTGTTGCTGGCAGTGGCAGACTCGCACAATACTGTACCTATCTGGGCTAGTTACTATTGAGTTACTTGAGCAAGGAAATAGAATTGGCTTGGAGTGACCAGACAGTACATTATGAAGAATGTTATGTACCAACAAAGAAATTATTACTTTTAAAAGTGATTTTTTAATTACATAATAATACAACAATTATGAAGTTAATATAAGCACATCTGTACCACCAGCTTACATGTACGCACAAGCATGTATCTATGGGAATGCATACATTCAAGACAGCACACATATATACAAGATTACAGGTTGAGAATTGTATCTTCATAATTCGCCATCCAGTCACTGCAACATAATAACCACACCCTAACTAAAACTGACAAACATATCCTTAATTTATATATTTAATGTACCTAGATCAGCAAAGCTAAACTGCAGAGAAAATGGGTACAAAATTTCTCTACAGTATAAAACTTTGGCAAAAGTACAAAACTCTAATAAAGATACAGCTTTCAGGTCTTTATTAATGACAGGAAAATAGTCAGACAAAGAATCATATAAATACTTAAAAAGAGAATACAAAATATAACTAAGCCAGAACAATCCTGACATTAGCTGATGTCTATAATGTCAGAATAAAGGAATATTTCATTGCACTCTACACTCAACAGGTCACAACACTGCTAGCTTCAAGTTGTCTTGTGAAACTGCGTAAATCTTCTTATTTCAACTTCTGTATCCTGCAAAACAATAATGTGCATAATGAATCATAAAACCTTATTCAAACACTTGTCATATAGAAAAAGAACATGGAAAAAGTAAAAATGAAGCTGTCTAAGAAAACAACAGGCAGGCATCTCTCACTATATGGTCAACTGCTACATGAATGTTCAATTCTATTACCTCAAAATTTCTATATCAGAAATCTTCAGGCAATCTCCTATGATCAATTTTATGATTTGTTATTGGTGTTACAATCACATAATCTCTAAGCAAAGATGGTACCCACGTTTACAAAGTGTATTCTTTGTTTGTGACTGAATGCTTACTGCCTCTCTAGCTGCAGAGTCGAAAGTCTGTGTTCAATGTATACACTTTCGTGATACTTACACAGGACACAAGTGCTCAATTATTTCTATATTTGTATCTGTACTTTTTTTCCCCTATTTCATGGATTTTCTTTTCCATAATATTATACTCTAACTAAATACTATAGATAAATAGTTGGGGTCCCTTTTCTAAATAATCCATTATTATTTTCATGCATCTCAAAAGTTACTCTTTACATCACATAACAAAGAATACTTGTATACTGTGAAAACAGTTTTATTTCACTGTTCCTGAATTTTCAGTGAACCCATTTATGGTGGGTGTCCCATATATAAGACACCCGGAAAAATAAATATTGCCGGGCGTCCCGCCAGTGTGACATTGGATCTGAGCTCGTGGGCAAATTCAGGTCTAGCCCAGCACACCGATTTTATAGCTGCCCCAAAAATATTATATTCTACTTCAAAATATACCCGGGTTAGTGGGTTAAACATAAAACCCTAGATCATTATGCAAAACGTCTCAAACTACACTTCTGAAGAGCTATAAGTATTATGGTAAATGTTTGATAATCAATTTTGCAATAACACCAACCTGTAGAAGTTGCATCTTGTTGGGATTTGGGAGGTGCTTGTGAATAAGGGCAGTGATTGCAGAATAGAGTCGTTGGAGATCATCTACAGTCGCGTCCTCTGTAGCAGAGACACAGGACTCATACACTGCCTCAAGGTGGCTCCAGTCAATCAAGACTCCATTATTCTCTGTGGGACCACCACCACCACCACCACCACCTTGCTCTGATGAGGACACTGCAAAGAAATAAGATGTTAAGTACTAAAGTACACAGCCATTTTAACCCCTACCATTCAGGTGATGTTACGGTCCCATCACAGACAAATTTGGGTTGAGTGCCAGGTGATATGAACATGCTGTCATCGGGTAAAATGGCCAAGGGCTGGGTGACACAAATTCGCTGTCATGTACTGAGTTATTAAAAACATAGAGAGATGGTATGGAGTCTGTACAAGGAAAATAAGCTATTGCTATCTGGATAAAGAAAATTGAAAAACAAATATGGACTTGACAAAGGGAAGGCTCAGACTTGTTACCGCTCATGGGTGTTTGCGTGCGCCTGGCCTACACTCCGCCGACAAAGGTTTTGTAACCTATTTCACCTGGGCCGCTGTTCAGTCGGTCGGGAAATATATTTAATAAAAAAGGGCAGACAAGGGTAGTCATTCTCCTTCCCATCTGAAGGGGGTTATGGGCTGAGGAGCAAATCCCAATTTTGGTAAATACATAAACACTGGCCGAAATCATATAAATGTAGCTCATGGATATCAACTGCCACACTCTTGTGTTCCGGTAAAGCCAATGGCTTTCAATATATCAAGTATGAATATATAGGTATATCAAATGGTATACATTTACTGAACAGTTTGCATATTAGATGTTGCCACCAATGACGGGTGTCCCACATATGAGACACCCGAAAAAATAAAGATTGCTAGGCATCCCGCCAGTGTGACGCTGTATCGGGGCTCGCGCTCCGATGCAGCAGCCGGCCGCAGCCAGCCGGCGGACAGTGTCCGGGGCAGCTCCGCCCACTGATTTTGTAGCCGCTTGGAATCTTTTATTTTCGACTTCAAAATATACCCACATTAATGGGCTATATATATCTAGTAACTAAATGTTTGATAAGCAAAGACAACAAGTATGAAGCACAAAGCAACTCTTTAACCCACTGACAGCAGTATTTTGCAATATGGCGTGTAATCCCATAGTATTTATTTTACACTTGGGTGGTGTATGGGACAGCACAGGAAAGTGTAGCAGTATTTATTTTTCCACTCGGGTGGTGTATGAGACCACAAAGAAGAGAGCACATTGTGGCGATGCTGCTTTCCCTACTTCGCACATATGTTTGCGTATGTATCTATAAACCCTTGCAAATACATGCAAGCATGAAAACAAACGTAAATGTGCTTAGAAAGAGTGGAGAGCCTGATTTTAGCACAAGCCGAAAGTATTAAACTCCTTTGGCAGGTAACATCCCCATCGCCTGGGCCCTGGAAGGCAGCTAGGGGAACACTGGCTTGTAAGCTGATATCTCCTGACCCCCTTAGCTTCCAGGCTGGGCAGCTGCCCACTGCACCAAGGGATTGGCCATCAATTGCACTTTGCATTATATGATACCATCCACGACCAATGGGCTAATAGTACAATCTATAGAGGGTCAATGAAGAAGAGGCAAAGAGAGGAGCTTCTCTCTATATGTATACTATGATTTACACCACCAAGT